TACCTCCCTTACCTAAACTGGAAATTTTCAATTCTCCTCATGATACAGTTGTATCCGGGAACATACCGACGTCACACAATCCCAAAGCCTCATAAGTGATCAGCTCGTTTGGTGCAAAGCAGTCATGAAGTTCGATAACCTGACAATAAAGCTTTGAAAGGCAAACAAACCAAGTTTTCTACCAGAAGCAGAGGTAAAGAGACCTCGGGATGCGCCATGCTTCCACTTCGAGTAGAATAACAGAGAAACTACTCTACAAGCTTCGTACCTGCACATCATTCGGACAAAGGCCCGTCTTTTTGTACAAATCCGAAGATATCTTCTTAATCATGTCGAACCCAATCATCTTGATATTGCTGTTCTCCTTGAACACCGATGGCTGGTCAGTACCAAGCTCGAGTCCTTCAAGTAGAGGCTCATTCTCCATACATGCCAGGAAGTAGAAGTTCAGCAAAAGGAAAAACTTACCAACGATTTCTACTGCTTGAGGCTTAAGACGGGGATTCTGCTCGAGGAATCGTTCTGAGCAAAGCACAGCAGCAGCAGAGCCATCTGATGTTGGACTGAAATGGGTAGAGTTCCAAATGCATCTACTTTTTTTCGAAGCTGTCTCCTACATTGTGACATTATTGACGGATTCTACACCACTGAATTGTCATAGGGATTCTTATTTCATCAGGTTCGTGAAGAAGTCGATGGGGTCAAACCTACTTAAACCTAGGCAAATCTTCTTCTAAGGCATCAAGCTTCACAGCAGTTCGCAATAAGGCATCTAAGAAGTAATGACCTTAGGGATTCAGGAGTCGACATTGTTGACCGTAAAATTTAAAGACAGCGCCTTCTCTATTGCGCCTCCTTCCTGGCTTTGGAATCGAGCAGAGTTCAAGAGAATACTTTGATAAACTATCAGTCTAAAATGCGAAAACCACTAGTGGTGGACTTGAGAAACTCCCATACAAAAGAATTTGAGAGAACTTAGAAACAAGTGAAAGTAGCGAAAAGACAAGAGATGTCCTTCCCATGAACATGGCTCATTAATCACAGTTACTCCAGATCGATCGGTTTCTTCAAGGTTATTTGAGTGGTCTTAGATTTGACCGAAGTAAATATTGTTTCGAGTTACTTTTGAATCGGTTACTCATCCGATAAGAAGAACGGCCCTATCCTATCGATTCTACAAATTATCTTAAAGCCAAGTACGATGCGTATCCATGAAGGATAAACTGACAGTAACATTATCGAGATTCCTCACCTGCATTCCAACAATCCCATGAAGTCATAAATCTTTCGAGCATTCATAACCTGATCAAGAGTGAACTCTTTCGTGAACTGGGAGTTCCTGAAAATCATGGTCAGGCAGAATACAACAAAATGGGAGCAGCACTTATGAGCAAAACCTACGGGTTATGAACAGAGTGCAGGTGGTTCTTCCAAGCAATTTTTGCGAAATGTTCTCGCTTTGTACCTATTAATGGAAGCAGTAGCTGTAGTTATGGAGAAGATCCAACAAGATCTTATGAATCAACTCACCATATTTCTCCATGTGCTCTTTGCCAGCGTTTGCAAACATTTGGGCAGTAATAGGGGCAGGGAACAGGCCGTAGGTATCGGACATAACCTGAAGAAGATTTCGTTTTTGTTTGAAATGGAGCCAGTGACCATGACGAGATGGGAAACAGGATTTACCTGAATATGGTTATCTACAGACAGAGCCCGACCATCAGAGTTACCAGCTTGAGTGTCCAACGACCCCGTGGCCATCTTCTCGAATCCACATGCAAGCACAACGTCAGAGTTACCTGAACACAGAATGAGCGGAGTGCTGCAAGAGCAAAAGAGTATCGACAGCATATCAACATCCAGGTTACAAAAGTTTTACAAGTCACCATAATCCACATCAAATACGTACCACTTTCGATGATTTGTTTACACAAGTAGAGCCCAGAAGAGCCAGAAGCGCAGGCATTGTTTACCTGCAACTTTGAAAATATGTAAATTATGTCTGTATGCTCTTACCTACAGAGTACGCTATTTGGAACGGAGTTCTGAGTGTCGCAGATAGACTGCACTCACAAAATAGTACCCAAAAACGACTACTTCCAGAACCCCACTTCGACTCTATTTCCTCGAAGAAAATTCGGACGTCTCTGGCAAAGAATAGGTCAGAAAACACAGATTTTTTAACGTAGTAAACCCTAGTTTCTTCCATTTGCAGACGTACTCTTTATAAAGGCATGCAGGTGGTCGAGGGCAGGGACTCTGACCAAACTTTCACCAAGAGATTGAGCCCCACTGCACAAGAAAGCTCAAGCATGAGGACATAAGTATATATCCCGGTTTGTAAGGAGTTTACCTCAATAGATACTATTTTCCTGTTATTCGAAACCTTACTCTCACGGAACTGTCGGGAAAACTCTGAGATCTAAATGGGAAACAAGATTCAGGCACTTTGGATCCTCGCGTGTCTTCAGCTAAAGATCCTCCTCGATTTCGAACAATGATTTTAATCAATAATTTCAACAATCTCTATGGGAAGGGAGTATTGAAAACAAATTGTATCAAATGATGATCCTCACGTTAAAGATTGGAATGCCTGTGAAACCGAGTTCATAAAGAGCCCTTTGACCGCAGCAAGTGCCTCCAAACAGGTATCCGACCGTAGCTTGTTGAATGTCTGTGTACTTCAGTGAGCAATCGTCCAACGCCATGTTCACTGAAAAAGTATGAACCCCAGATTACTACAACACTTTCGAATTTTTAAACCTACTGAACTTAATTTTGAACAAAGGGGCCATAAAATCTTGGGTTTCATCTGAGTTCTACTTTGAGATGACAGTTCAACAGCTTGTGGAATTGAAATATAACTCACCGGCTTCCTTCACCATGTCTGGGTAATCCCAATCTCGTGATCCTGGTTTACAGAACTTTGTCATTCCGACACCAATCACATATACCTTTGATTTACCCATGATGATCCGGGCTGNATAGTTCCAATGAACCTTTGAATTCACAATAACACTCACCGGCTTCTTTCACCATGTCTGGGTAATCCCAATCTCGTGATCCTGGTTTACAGAACTTTGTCATTCCGACACCAATCACATATACCTTTGATTTACCCATGATGATCCGGGCTGCAATAAAGCATAGGAAGAATAATGAATTTTATAATCTACAATTTCGCTATTGTTGCCGTAAAATATGAACGAAGGATGGTTCGGATTAAATGAGAGCATTCTCGATGCTCTCAACTATCTGTAGCCATCGAGACAAAAATGAGCGCAAACGCGTCGGACCCAGCCTGATTGAACTTGGACGTTTGATAAGGCTACAGTCCATCACTACATTCTAGTCTACCTCGTGAACGACCTCTAAATGCAATTCACTTCAGTTTTGTGACTACCGTACCACGATGTCGACAGAACTGTATAAAATAGTAAGTCAAGTAATTTTAGCAAAAAAAAACTAAAAGACCAAGAAACAGAAAATCTAGTGCAACGATCGGGTGACATCGGTTTTCTGGTGAGTTCCTTTCAACTGGCGTGATAAGATATGGTTTCTAGCAGATGGGGAATGAATAATGAAGAGCTGCACAATTTAAAGAGGGAAAGCGAAATCCAGATATTCGAACTTCAAAACTATTTCCAATGTACTAGTACAGGCACAGAGTACGGAGCTGACCAGAGCAAAGAATTTTGTCAATTTAATAAGGTCTCTGCGTTTGCCTAAGCAATCGTCATACCAGTGAAAATGTCCAAACTAGGAAGTGAAAGAAAAACACTCATAATATGAGTTTCCAAGCAAAACACTGGGTGTTGATGGACAATGGTCGACTTGATAAGAACGATCAATTTAGCAACGTGTTTGCGGGGATGGGTAGCGCCACTAGATCAGGGACAGAACCGGGGAAACCTCTTGGTTGATTAGACCTGTTAAATAGGCTCTCTTCACCCTGTTTTTCCACATATGTCTTACCATATTCATTCTGGATAGGCTTAGCTCTAATTAAATGGAAATGAGATGACTGAAAAAATCATCGATAGAATATGTCCATGATGCCATATTCTTCAATATTTGGGCCGGATCCGTTAAGCTTGATTTATATTTCTTTTATTCTGCCATTTTTGAAAAAAAAAATCCTGATTAGAACCATGCCACTGAGGTGTGCTTAGGCTGGACTGACCTTAATATATTGAAGTTGTAAGTTGTTATTTCTGTTTTAATAACGCTCCTAATCGTTAACCCTTTGTTGAGCAACAATCGAAAACTGTCCAAGGAACGAGTTCTCTTTTCCGATTAACAACGCTGTGAATTGGACCATGCATAGCCAAAGTTCAGGTTCTGCTCACACTCTCAACTGTGGACTTGCAAAATTTTGCATAGAAGTCGTGTACCACGCGTAATCCGATGCGTTGATCCACTTTCATGAAGCCATTTTTACTGTAAATACAATTATTTCTTTTGATTTTACGATTCTCTTACAGGCCTCTGATCTGTCTGGCCTTTTGAAATGTTTTGATTGCGTCTTTTTCTTATTCAAATCATAGATTAGCTCTTTTTGTTTGTGGGACAATTGTGAGGTGGTGTTGTGGCAAGAGACGCACTATCGCACACGTATGGTCACGGATCGAATCCTGGATCGATGTCCGCCTAGGCAAACCAAGTCCCTCCGGAGTCGGTTAATTGGTATCAGTCTCGTCTGAGAGGATAAAAGCACTGACTTGTTCATCGGCCGGCCCATTCACACTCTATACGCCACTACGAGTCTGATTTAAGTCAAAAGCGGGGCGTATCCCTAAAACGGGATTGGTTAACGCTGAGAAACTAGATCCTACTGAATTCTTCCTCGTTTTTGAGTATCTTGAGGAGTCAAATTTTCTTTAATAAAATAAATATATGTATATCACAAACGAATAAAACAAA